TTTAAGCCATATGTACAAATTAAAACTATTTTTTTATTTTAGATTTTTTTAAAATTTTTTAGCTTTGAATAGAACTAAAAGTGTATTACCCTATCTCACTTTACAATTTCTAATTACAATTCCTAAAGCCAAAACCTATTTAATATTGTAATATTTTTAAAAATTTCAATAGAATATTTATAATATTAGAAATCTAATTTTATTTATTTTAATTTAATTAAAAAATAATAATCTTTGAGTTGTATGATTAATGGAAATTTGAGCTCTAATATAATTTGAACGTACATTACTTTACAATAGACCATCCAACGAAAACTTTAAAATTGGCTTCTTTTCTTATCTAAAGAAATTTTATTTTAAGACATTAGTTTATTATTTTTTCCGAAGTATTTTTTTTCAAATTATAATAAAATAGATTTTAGTGGCCAAAAATATATAATTAAAACTATCTATTTTACCTATTCAAAATTAGTCTTATTATATGATAATATTGAAGTTTTTGTAGATTTAAGATTAAAGTTGCATATCTATTCTATAATAAAAATGGAAGAAATAGAAGAATTTTAGAAGTAGTAGATTTTCTTTTCATATGTTTTTTGAACTAAGAATAATTATTTATTTAATTTAATAATAGCTTTTATTTCTTCTTTTTTTTAATATTATTAATCTTTATTTAAAACAAGGACCAAATCATAGAGCCTCTATAGATTTGATGATAAAATTTTATAAAACATAATCATTGCATTTTATTGAATTCAATTTAAAAGAAGAATATATTTAATTCAAAAGATAGAATCTTATCATTTGTTTTATAAGCCATCTCAATTTTATCAAAGATATATTTAAAAAAAAAGAATAAAATTTTAATCTTAATCTATTATTTTACTTAGTGAAAATTGAACTATTTATTAAAATTTCTTTGAAAACATATTAAGTTTAAGGTTAAAATAAATTTTATTTATATTTTTTATTATTTTTAATTCATAAAAATTTACAAAAAATAATTATAGTATGATTCTAAATTCTTAACGATTTTTCATTCAATCCAATAAATCTTTGATTATTTGAATATATTATTTTAATGAAAGACCAATGTTATTACAAAATTCTGGTTCAATATCACTATGAATTAAATAATTTTTATTAGTTAAAATATTGATAAAAGTTTATACTTTATCTTTTATTTTGGATTTTTTTTAATTTTATCACATAATCTTTAAAAATGGATAAGTCTTATTTTTATTAAAGTTTTATTATATTTATTATTAGTCCTTCTATTTTTATAGGTCTAAAAAAATATTATCTAAATTTAATATTTAAATTATTTTAAAAAAATTATTAAATTTTTATTTAAATTTTTATTTTTTAAATAAACATAAGTTTGAATTTTTAATATTATTTTTTAAGTTAAAGGTCTCTTTAATTTTTTATTTTTATTTTTTGATTGCATAATATATATATATATATATATATATATATATATATATTTATATGTTATTTATTTTAAAATAGGTAATTATATTTAGTTTCTACTAAATTTTCTTTAAAATATTATTTTTAGAAGATTATATTATTTTTATAAATAAATTCTTATCTTAAAAAAATCTATTCTAATTTATTTTTATTTTGATAAATTCAACTATTGTCTTAAAAATATATGTATAATATCTTATAATTATTTTTAATAGTATTTTAATTTTTTATCTTAAGAAAAAGGTTGCTTAAAAAGACCTACAAAGATATATTATAATATCTATATATTTTTAAATCTCTTATATCATGTTTTGTATTATTATATACTTATTTAATTAAATACTTTAATATCCAAGTAATTCATATGAAATAAGTGTCTTTGTAAAAATTATGACGGTATTTATAGATGATTTTAGCACCCAATCCAATACCAAGGACCATCTAGAACATGTAGAGGAGACTTTAGAAAGATGTAAAAAACAGGAATTGCTTTAAATTTCAACAAAATATACTTAGCAGTACAAAAGGGGGTCTTGTGGTGTCTCAAAAGGGAAGAAAATCCAATTTAGAAAAAATAGAGATTATAGCTAAAATGAGTAGGTTTAAATGATATTTAATCTAGTCTATTTGCAAACTTAATGCCGCTCAAACAACAGTGATTTATACATCAAACTATATTGTATAGATACATTTTTGAAAATGTGCATCTATTAGATGGCATTTGAAGAAAGGTTCTAGAGGCTACGAAATATATTCATCAACTCTTTTATATTTCAACCTTAGTGGATGATGTGGCCTTAGATTCTTATGTCTATTGACCCCATTGGATTTGGACTAACTTAGCTTTGTTTCACTTCTTCATGGGAGCATTTTCTAAAGTGTCCAGTAACAAAAAACTTCTCTTCAAAACAAAGAAAAACTTAGCTACGAGGTTTAAAATGAAGGATTTGGAAGAAATCTACTATATTTTGGACAAACCAAAAGATTTGTAAAATCCACCTCAATCAGCAAAAATATGTAGAAAATGTCTTTAAAAGGTTTGGCATGAAAGCTTGTAAATCTTTGGCTATACCTTTAGATTCTAACAGAAAATTGTCAAGAAACATGAGTCCAAAAATTCTTGAAGAAATTGAAGCAATGAAAGAGATTCTATACCGAAATATAATTGGCAGTTTAATCTATACAATGGTAGACATTTAGGTCAATATTTCCTATCTAATAGGAGTTATTAGCTAATACATGGCAAATCCTAGTCGACAACATTAGATAGTGGTGAAATGAATTTTGTGATATCTTCAAGATATATAAGATCATATGTTACAATATGGTGGAAGTTCTTTGAGTTTACAAGTGGTTAGTTACTGTAATGCAAACTATGTAGGAAATATTGATACACGACATTCAACTACTAATTATACATTCTCGTTGGCTGATGGTACAATTAGTTGAAATAGCAAGAAGCAACCAATGATTGTATTATCTACTACTAAAGTAGAGTATATGGCAGCTATTCATGCTATAAAAGAAGCAATTTGGCTTCAAAGGCTTTTTAATGATATTAGATTTTGACAAGACAATCTTTAGACTATTTTCAATGATACCAAAGTTACATTTTTTTCCAAAGAATCCAACATTCTATGCTTGTATTAAGCATGTTGAAATTCAAGATCACTTTATTTGTAAGAAGATGAAAAGTAGCAATATCAACTTAGTTTTTTGCAAAATTCAAGAGATGGTTGTAGATGTTTTGATCAAAGGTTTAACTTATGAAAAACATTGTAAATTCAAGGAAATGATGGATATCATCAAATTGAGTTAGTTTAATATATCATTAAATAAGAGTATTAATAGAGTATGTAATTCATATTAGATATAATATAGAATAGACAGTTGACACCACTTTGTCAGTTGATAAGTTGTAACCACCATTTATTGGTGGTAATACCATTTAGCCACTGTAGCCTACCAAGCCGTCATATGACCTAATAAGACAAATGTCCACATGTTAATTGGATATCATTGACCACACTAGTTGTTTGTGTATTCAGACTAGAAAGTCTATGTAATTAGACGTTGAACTAGTAGTATAAGAACTCAAGTTCAAAGCTCATTTTGTAAGCAATTTTTAGTTCTCTTTTCTTCACATATTTGTACTTCTATTCTAACAATATACTTCCTTATATTTTATCACAAGATAAAGCTTTTGTTGATAATAAAACCATTTACATTAATAATAAAATCAATTATGATTCTAGATTAATCTTTCTTTAAATCTTTAATTTGGCATTGAACAATAGTTTTGTCACCTGCCATACAATAAAAGAATTTAGTTTTGTATATTTTGTATATATTTTGGATTTTATATTGTGCTACATTTACTTATAATATATGCATTTCAAGTTCAATGATTCCACTAGTAACATAACCACTTTCATAATGTGACTTCACCCCTTGAAATTTGTCTTGACTTTAGAACTTTGATAGCCAATTATTAGAAAATTCAATAGCCTTATTAATGCCCAATTCATGGGCAAAATTTTGCTTTTGATTTTTTTTTCTTTTTTAATCAAATTATCTAATAAAACTACTAAGCAAGCTTGACATTGAAGCAACCAATTTGTGAAAGTAATATCCTATTCATAAAAAATATTCATGCTAATGTATTTACTTGCAAGTTTTGCATGTTCCATATTCTCATTTTTTTATATATTTAGAATATTATTGATTGTATCTTTAGATAGAGGGAGAAGAGAAGTCACACTCTCAATTCTAATAACTTCTTGTAATTAATACTTATCTTGTAATAAATTGTATTAATTAGCAAAGGTTTTTTTATATGTACTACCATCCATTTTTTAATTCTTAATGTGAGATTAATCTAAAACTAATTGTTTATACAATGCTATAAATTTAATTGGTTTTTTTTTTTAATTTACAATCTTTAAATTATAGATATATAATAAAAGAACAAAAAGTATATAAAAGAAAAAATAAATTACAAACAAACAAATTAGATAAATTTGAACAATGTACATAGAATACTTAAATCTAATTAGTTATTTCCAATAATGACTTAAATTTTTTCATTACTTTTAAACTTTTGACCAAATTATAAAAAAACATAATATCGAAGAAAACAACATGGAATTCCAATTTATAATTATTTTCATTTACATGTAACATACCATTATTATTACCAAAAGTACAGAAGTTTTTTTTATATCTTTTGGCAGTTGTCAACATAATGAGTTGAAGTTTGTTTTTAAGTCATTGTACCAGACCTTTGCAAGGATTATGGTATATAAAATGGTATATAAAATGTCATAAATATAGACATTTACATCCTGTTGAATACAAATACGATGTGGCACCAAATTGTTAGCCATATCAAGATTAAATCAAATAAATTTAATCGGACGCACCCCACCAGTACAGTTTGCTTGGATGCCTTGCAGCGACGGTGGCAGGTGATGGAGCTTTGCAAGACAAGATTTGATACAAGTAATAAGAACATGAAGCCTGGAGGGTAGTCCAAAGAGAGAGATGGTGGACTTCATCTCAACTGCAAAACAATAAATTGAGCTCACCAAGTCGAGCACAAGTTTGTGGTGCACCAACACACTTGTGTGTATATGTGGACCCACAAGCTAGAAATCTTTCTATCTGTTGCTGTGCCACTAACAAACTTTTTGTGTACTTACTTCAGGCGAAAGTTGCAAATGAACTGCCAATTCATGCATCCTGACTTGATACACAACAAAGCATGTGAGAGCCCCAAAAATGAGTCACTGCTGGAGTTCCTTCATTGACGATGGTTTATTCAATTTAACCTTAGATATGGTGCTGAGAGCTGTTGAATTCTGTAGTTACTAGACCAGAATTCAAGCTCCACTTCGATGGGCTATGATGGCCATGTTGCGAGGGGAGATGGAAGGCTCAAAGAGAGGAACAAGCTCGACGGTTATGCGCTCCTTGGCACCAGTCTTCTCGGCTTGTTCCTTCACATACAACAGCCGGTCCAACAAAACATACGTTTCTATCACTGAAGCCAACACGGCCCTCAAAGAGTAGAACGGCCCCACGAGATCCTGCAAGCCACCGAAAACAACCTCGGGCTTCAAAATCAACAGAACACTATCCAGCTACCAAAAGCTTCCATGACTGAATACATCGCATTCATCTTATGAAGCTGCACGCTGAATTGACACAGCTTAATTGACATAGAACACATATTCTCAACGCATACCTTAAACGGAGCTACCTCTCTCCAGATGGAATGGAAGACAGAGGACGAAAGGGGAGATAGATCGAGGCGGTCCAATGCAGCTTTAGCATATTCGTCAAACCTTTGTGCCTGTTTTTCAAAATCCCCGCTAGTTCCATTGGTATCGCTGACATCCTCCACCTGAAATTCAACTTTGACAGATTCCTCTCCATGTTCTAAACTTAGAACATCCCCATCTTGAGAAGCGGTAGAAGGTTCATCCCAACTGCAGCGAGATGAAGACGCAGACGACTCTTTGGTGGTGGTCACGGGCTTCATTGCTGATTGTCGTGCTTGACGCCTACGCCGTGACTTGCCCAGTCGGCCTACAGATGGGCTACTTCGGGCTGTCTCAGGGTAATATCGCTCTAGAACCTGTCAGAATAAGGGACTAAAAACATATATGTAATTGTTCAATATAAGGAGATTGATCGAGTGAGGGAAATAGTTCTAGTACAGTTCGCATTTGCAAGCTTACCATCTGGAAAGCAGCCCGGAACGCATGGAGCTCGAAAGTCAGAGCAGCTTTTGTTGGATGGTGCTCTTTCCATCTGTCGGCACTCTGCACAAGATCAGACCATACATAAGGTCATTTTCATGGATTGTGAGCAGCATCATCAAAATGACTCCTTGCCTGCTATGCAGAGAGGTGATGAGATCAGTTACTTGACAGGCGAGATCACGAGCACTTCTTCCCAAATCCAATCCTAAGTTAGCAACTGCTTCACTCATAGGAAACCCAAGTACGGGTGTTTTCTTGTCGACGTTGCTGGTTTCTTCCGATAGCAAGTTGTAGCAGCATCCCACGTTTATGACAGATGCAACCTCCTTGCACTCAATAAAAGTCCTGCACGTACACAGCAAGTTTTGTGCATGAGCTAGGTGCTAGTTAAAAAGCAAGAGATTTCAGAGGCGCCTCGAAGAATGATGAATGTTTGACACTCATGGTATAGTTCTACTATACTAGCCTAATGCATGGACAAGGTACTATTAAGTGGAATTGTTTATTTTATCGTTGCTATATCAGCCTAACAGCAAACATCTCGATGAATACAAGTTCCAAACCTCAGCATCGTAGCAGAGAGGTCTCCACAAGCATGCAAGCCAGCTAACACAACACCACAATCCTTCGCTTCCCTGACAGATTTTACACCATGATCTACAATCGTATCCTCGGAAACGTGTAACAGATTATTAGATTCCTGGATTGCTGGCAACAAAGAAGAAAGCGGTGCTGGAGATTCCCCAACGCCAACACGGCATGTGACTGTTCGAGGAGCACGCACGTCAGGGTAGGTCGAACTGTCTGCAAAAAGACCATTAAAACACATACTGCTTATCCTTCACTTCATCAAAGAAAATATGCTACACGTCTTCCAGCACTAAAACCTTACAATATCCAGCCCGTGGATGTTGAGAGGAACAGGAAAAGAATTAGAAGTGCTCTTGATATATAAGTTATGCCAAAACTTGAGAATTATGAATCATTTCAACAAAAACAGACTTACTGTGTTGCGACTTCCGGGAACGTGCATCGTAATGCTTTTGGATACGCAGAGCGCGCTTATTTGTCACGTCTGCATGGTGAGCACACGCATCCACGGCAATTACTGATAGCCGGTACTCAAACGCCAGAACTAGTGCGAGATAACCCTGTAACGATTCAGTTTCAATAGAGTCCACAGGCATTAGAGGTACTCAACATTCTGAACCTGCAAATTTGTGTCCAACTAGAAATGAAGGATGGCTCTGCACACCTGACCAGCTCCGACATCAATCACGTCTTTAGCTCCATTCAATTTCGCAGTTGCTGCAATTAGTGCTGCCAGTATTCCAATCTGCACACTGAATGGCACCGATTTAATCACCAAACTTTCTCGACTCATGAGATTGCGTTGTGAAAGACAATGTCGTACGAAAGTTATTCAAAATAGACAAAGAAGAGATTTCACCGAGAGGGGAAAACTGATACTTCGTCGCAGAGTTCAAAGATTGAGGCAGAAAGAAGCTTCTGTTTCTGAGGCTCTGTGCACCAGATGTGAGCAACAAATGATATCTATAGTTTGGAAGAAGTGCATGAATCAAATACAGCAATTACTGCTTGATTCCTACCTCGTGAATCTTCTTCACACTCATCCCTTGGCCGAGCACACTGCCAATGGGAGCCTGAGAGACCCCTGAAAGGGACTGTAATGGCGATTCATCAGTGAAACTATCCCATAAAGCTGAATACAAGGAATTGAATCACTTGAACCAAAGCAAAAAAAGAAGAGATTGCTTGATAAGGCTACATTGTTAGTAAATCGAGATGCTGAAGATTGATAGGGAATCAAGTACCATGCATGAAGAGCTGTCAACTTGTGCCCGAGAAAGGGAAAGCTGGAACGCTGTTTGCACAAAATCTTTCAAAGAATTAGGCCATTCTTCCTGCCACATAACAAACGTCAGAAAACAACAATCTAAAACTCATGAATATTAGCAAAAACAAAAAAAAAAAAAAAAAAAAAAAAAAAAAAAACCGAAAACAAAAATAAAAAAACAAAGAAGTGGTCTCCGTTTATATGAACAGCAAAGGAGAAATTTAGTTGCCAGTGCTCTCAGATTGTACTGCGAGCTCTGACCTGGATAACCCCAGATGGTAGTAGCAACAAAGCTTCCACGGAGATATGTCTAAGGCAACTATTCCACTGCTCGTCCACGCCTTGCCATAATTTTGCCTGCACGTTGGAAGGTACCATTCACTCGAATACGTCAGAAACATAGCAGAGTGAACGTCGCGTGACTGAGACACAGATATTCACCCTCACTTCATTGACACAGCTGAGCATCACCCATATAGAATAGTTTGAGCAAATCAAGGAAACCCATACGAATAGAGTATTGTGTCTCTGAAAGATTAGTTCTTGAGAGAGGAACCAAAATAGAGGATGGGGGTTCACTTGGAAAAAATCCACAACGTGCGCTCGCCATAGCCACTCATGTCCTCTCAGGAAAGTGGCAATTGCGCTCACGTGCTTCTTCAGGTCAGAGACGTCTTGCCCCGCTGTATACATTGATAACCCCATCCTGAGAGTCTCACACAACCCGGCTGGATGCACGCCTACAAAGAGGACTGACTTCTCCTTTAATTCATCAAAAATTCCCGATTCCTACTTCAAATCGCGATCGAAATCCCAATTCCTGGCTTGCCGATTCAAGTCCACTACAACCAAACACATGAACGATGATTCATCAATCTAATTCAACACACAAAAGGTTGCAAAGTTTTTCTAGTCTCACTCACCATGCTCTTCTACGTATACTCGTCCAAGCAGGGTTCAGGGTTTATGCTATCAAAAAATTCAAACATGAATCTTTTTCTCCAAAGCCTGCAATCAGTGACCACCTCCTCAACGAGTAATTTTCAAATCAGACCCATCTATCAACTCAAAGCAGCCTCTAGATTGCAGCAACTTGCAGCATGTATCAATTCCACTACAAATTAAACCGACATACCAATCAGCTGCTACACCAACGAGCTGACAGGACTTCACCTCCCCCTGCATTTGGTTTAGATTCCACCAAATACAGGCGTAACACGCGAATAATGAAGACACAACATAAATCCCCGCAACCCGTAGCGTCCAGTTCCCTAGCCTCCTCAAAAACTCAAGAGGAACCCAGAAAGCAAGATTCCTGAATAATATTCAAGCCATAAGTCTCAGCACTGGACATTACAGTGTGCAGAGCTCTAGAAGACTCTGCAACAATACCGGCTTTCAAAGGTGAGGTTTACCAAATTCCTTGTGAGATGCCCTCAGGAGGTTGTTGTATCCTCTACTGTGGACACAAGCTGATAAAAGTCTGTTTCACACGTTCGCATCGAATGCTTATTTTGGGAACTTTTACTTGGAGGGCTTTTCCGAATCAGAAGGGTAGCCCAGGGTTTAGCAGTGTTTTTGAAGAAATCGTCAAGCGTCGGGGTGGAAGGAATCTGGCAGGGAGATATGGAGTCACTATAGAAAGGGTGTGAGGGATTCGCAATTATGCATATTTAGGTTACTGTGAAGTCTGTGAACAAGCAACTAATTGCATGAGAATCATGATGGGAGCGAATTCTAGTGGGGAGCTAGTTTTTTGTGGATCATCATCCTCGCCGCCATCACCTCTTGCTCATTCTCAAGAGGTATGGACAATGTAGTACGTCTCTTCACGAATTCCATGCTCTACATGTCACCATTTTACTGATTGAGCTCTAATGCGCGGGTAACATTTGGTCGTTGTATGAACTTGCATAAATATGTCATCGTGGTGAGATTCAAGTTGCGTAAGGTTTGGTGGTTGTGGTGGTGTTGTCTAAGTGATCAGCACAAAGATAACTCTAGAATTTTAGACTAAGAGTTCTAATTGACCCACTAGTTCATACGTTTCTGGATTTTGAAACCCTAGGTTATTTCTTGTTGAGACACACGGCATTTCTAAGTACAGTGTTCCTGCAGGCTCTAAATGGTGTTAGGGAAGAGGATGAAGCTGTGGCAGAGCTGAAGACATCGCCTACATCGCCCATTTCAGAGAGGCAAGCAATTGGACATCTACCACACAATATCGGATTACTCTTCCTTTTCAATGAACACTTTGTTATGTTGGCGAGGAAAAATCAGATCTCTGCATTTTCTCCTTTTATTCGTGCTAGAACTTCTATTTTCAGCATGCTATCTCTTGTGCTTGTCAGGTTGGATTTCTGTCGCTGATTCTGGCTTGAAAGTGAAAGCTCTTGCCTCGTCATGCAAATTACGTGATGCTAATTGAAGAATTCAGCCTCGTGTTAATGAGTCACTACCATACTGTGAATCGAGCATTGACTGTTATTGTAGTTCACATGCAGATTGGAGAGCGTAAGAATGGCTGGAGTAGCTGACGACGAATCGATTATGAAGTTTATGAAGCTTGCTTTTATCGAGGTATGTTGATATGTTCTTCCCAGCGTTTGCTGCTGTCTCTCTTTGATTCGACGAACCTTTGTGCTTAGTAGAGCACGCTGACGATTAGTGGTCTTTGACACAGGCTAGGGAAGCACTCGCAAGGCTTGAAGTGCCTGTGGGGTATGTTCACTGGCCAGGATCTTACATAGTTTTTAGTGTTCTTTTGTCTGCTAATCACATGCTTTAGGCGTTTGCTTCTGCTATTAGATTCATTACCTTGTCCGAGATAGTAGTTCAAATGAAGGTAGTGGAACTACAATTTTGATTTGATAGTTTCAAATCATTTTTTGTGGAGTTGATGATTTGGTAGGGATGATGATGAGCAGGTGCGTAATTGTGAACGATGGGGAGGTCATTGGCCGTGGGAGCAATTGCACTAATGAGACAAGAAATGTACCTTCTTATCTTACATTGGCGCTTACACTTTCAACATTTGTGTTAACTTAAACTAGAGTTTACAAAAATAACCTGTTTTATGGATTACACATTGCTTATACCATCCTGTGTTGGTCGTTACAGCTAAGTGCATTTTATTTGCTGTTGTAACCTGATCATTTGCGAACGGATTGAACTAATTGTTCATGTACTAATTTACTGTGTGAAATAGGAGTCTTTCACCTAGAGATGTTTCAAATTTTATAGGCCCGCTATAATAGCCATTTATAGTTGGTATCAGAGCAGCTGCACACATTTCCCTCCCATCATCCATCTAAATTTTTTGCACATGTTTATGATGCAATACCAGGCCACAAGACATGCAGAAATGGTGGCCATCGACATGGTGCTCTCCAAGTGGCAACAGTTATCTGCAACACCCAATGTTAACCCATCAACTGAAGGGTTCCAACAATGTGACTTGTATGTCACTTGTGAACCCTGCATCATGTGTGCAGCTGCTCTCTCATTGTCAGGTACATATTAAGTAGAGAGTTTTACTGGCCTTAAAATGCAAAAAAGAAAACCTATTGTAAATTTAAGTTAATATTTGGAGTTTATTCTCAGTGCCTTTACTGTTGTGCTTCATATTAGTGGCCTTCTCTTTAGCTTAGATTTACCATATTAGAGTTTCTTGTCTCTTTTAAAGTTACAGGCTTCCCTAAAATTTTCTCTTTTCGTTGATAACTCTTAAACTCATGCTTAGTTACCTAATATTTTAGTATTTGAAAAAAGGATATTTGAAGGATGATATGTTTGGTAAAGTAGTCATGCATGCGTTATCTTTGCTACAGGATTCCGGAAGATATATTATGGATGTGATAATGAACGTTTTGGTGGATGCGGATCGGTCCTGGACATACATTCTGATGGATGTGCACCTTGTGGATTGAGGTATTTCCTTTTCTTTCTAAATAAGTGAAAAATTTGGTAAGCAGTACTGTTAACCTGTCAAAGAGCGAAAACATAGGTTGAGTTGTTGATCGCTAATAGTGTGCCTTTTCGTATTTGTTTCCAGTCATAATGAAGCTGAAGAACATGAAGAGCAAAAGACGAAAGGATTCGAGTGCGTTGGTGGTTTCATGGCTGATGAAGCAGTGAATCTTCTTCGGGGCTTCTATGAGCAAGGCAATCAGAATGGTAAGTATGACTTCCCTGCAATTTGAGTTGGACTACCGTATCCTGATGGTTGTGGACATCAAACACGTACTGCTTTTGGAATTTTGAGAATCATAAGGTCTATGAACAATTTTTCCATTTTTACGCTGATAATTTACCTTGATGTATTGTGGTTGTGTTTGTACAGCTCCAAGGCCACATAGACCTGTGCGCATTGAGAGATCCCTATAACTTGGATCCTCATAGGTAACTTGAAGTTGATATAACTGGTAAAGGTTTGATATAAAACCAGCATTTTCGTTATTGTCGGTGCAAGAAACGATTGTTGACTTTGAGAGCCACAGGAAAGGAAACAAGGGCAGCATGTAACCAGGCTGAAAATTTTGGAAATGTACTAAGAGGAAGGTAATGAGGAGTATTGTAAGATCTTGGAATTGTTTATAAAATGTATGCAGACAAGCAGCTTTGTATGTCTATCTCTAAGCCTTTTATGTACTGCGGCTTTTTCCTTATTTGGTCTTTCTCTATGCAGCAAAGCTGCTTTGAAAGCAGGGAAGCTAGTGAATTAATTGATTTGCTTTTACAATGTTCGACCAATCTATGAGATGAATAAACGTTGAAGAATGGAATGACCTTATTCATTAATCGTGTGTTTTTATGTTAATGTGCTAAAGTCTTCTTTTGGAATCAAGTGCATGTAAGTCGTTGAAGTGGCAGTGGCCACAGTGAAAAGTGCTTGTGGTGTAGTAATAGACTTTAACAAAGTGGAGCCAGTCTCTCGAGCGAGGGTAAGTATATATTCAACATTCCCAATCACAGAGCACAGGCTTTCTAAAACCATGAAAGTGTACACCAAATTTGCATACGTTTCCTGATGAAGACTACTTTGAGAGCAGATTTGCAAGTTGTTGGCTCACAGAAAAAGTCGATGGGTAAAATCATTACCAAAGGATCAGCTTGAGGTATATGTTTGAACTTGGAATTTGTATTAATCAATGCTCATGTAATTAATCAATTTATAAGCGTCATTAACTTAACACATTTTCTGAAAGACATCGTACTTGTTTTTTTCTGTTCTTACCTTTTCTTGTTTGTATCAGTACAACATCCTTGTATGATATACAGTGACCGTTTGAGAGGTGAATTGTGTGCAGTTTTTAAAATTTCCTTGCTCTTGTCCCGGGCTTCAACGAAGAGTACCACTCTGACTCAACGTCGCCTTTCTGCAGAAGATTTACTTATTTTTAAAATCTTAGTTTCTGTTTAAAGACATGCTTGCAAGTGTTTTTGAAGGCATGATCTGGGTCAGTTGTACAGGGCCATAGACAGAGTCGGTTGAAGTGATTTTTAGAAAAGACCTACACTACAAGAAACATGTGATCAAAGGCTAAAAATCTTAACTTACCAGGATTCTGTAATTAGTGATCTAACAAGTGATGTGTAGTTTAGGCAACTGAGACCGAATGAGGGTTACTCTTCGAAATCAGGGCCCCTGCCAGACTAGATTTCTGTCAGCAGAAAGTCTGGTCTTGTCCTTTGCAGTGTCCTATTTGAGTTGTGGTTTCACAATTCGCAGCAGCTTTACAAGCATCTTGTCCCCGTACTTCTGATGTTGTCAGATTTGACAGGATCGAAATGGTCGTTAGCATTATCAGGTACGCATGCTAATGGACACCTAATTGGGGAAGAATTAATGTTCCATTACTTTGGGTTCACTGTCTGCTGCACTTAGGTATGCGTAATTACTGAGGAGATTTTCATAGAAGCAGGATTATGTGATTGATGGTGTCTACAAATTTGCTTCACAGAATTAATGGAATAAACGATACCATAATATCATCTGGCAGAGTTAGTGAAGTAAGTTTTTAAATCAACATTGTAATATATATTTCAATGCTGTCACTAATAAGTCAATTGGCGTACTTGTTATGTTTCGATTAAGGTGAGTTGGCTGTTGCAACTCTTAACGAACTCCACAAGGGAGTGAGCAGGTTTTACAGAGTACGATTGAAACCTGCAAGGTTGTGACACAATATCAACCTAGCTGTTTAATAGACAGACTTCTCTTCAGTTGAATACAGATATGTCTGCAGCCGTTGGATAGACATATTTTCATCCCAGTTCCTTGCGCTTGGCACTGGTGCGCTTGCCTTCTTAGTGCTTTTGTCCATTTACCATCGTATTTCAGCCTGCTTCAACGCTCAACTCGTAATGGACCCAGTTCTTGTTTTGATGCCGTACAGGTTGCGTCTGCTTCTTGTTTACAACCATAACATTTTCTTCGGATTAGTTTCGTGTAGTGTTGTTGGTTGGACTCTGAGCTTGTCTTGCTTTGTTTTACTTTTATGCGATGTGAAAAGGATCGTGGACATGCTCGTGTGAGTTCGAGAATGAGCGTAACTTATCAACCTATGTCCTATGCCACGAACGAACTTGCACAAGCATTCCAGGACTCTTCCACATTTTATATCTGTCTTGAATTGATGTAGATTGAGATTTTTGAATAGATACTCGGCAGTTATGAATGTGTGATTTGATTATTACTCTGTTATGACTAATTGTTATTATGCTGTATTCGTAGTTGCATTGCTATGAAGTTTCTTAAACGAGTGTGTATTTTATAAGAGTACTGAAAGTTTTCCCAGCAATTTTCACTCGCATGTAACTCCATTCAATGCTCCTATCATGAAAATGCAGGAACTGTTAAAGATTTCTCTTCAGGTCAAGTTCATTTACATAACATCTGTTGTCAACATTACATAAATACACAGTAATAACAATAGACCGAATTCTCGTCAACTCATCGCTTCAATACAGAAAGTTGCTGATTATGTGGTGAATTGGTGATTTGTTTAAAACAAACTTGAACAAAATAATACGATGATGTCCCTACGTGGTGTTAAATTCTGAAGTTATCATTAGTTCATTCAGTTACTTTGGTTGTTTTAGAGGCTAAATTGCTGCTTTGCTAAATGTGGCTGGATTCGTGGGAAAGGTGTCTGTAGACCACATGCCACAAACAGTCTATCTACTTTGAAGTCATGCATGTCCTTGCAGTGCTACCAAGTACAATAGAAGCCCTGAACTGATGGAGAAGCCTTGAATCATTATGAAGGTCACTCGCATGCCGCATGTTAAGGTATAATCTTGACTAATGCGATCCCAAGTTCGCAAGGTGGTCGCTTAACCCACCCTAAGGGACACATGTGTAGAAACATTGTAAGGAACATATTCAAAGAAGCCAGGGGAATCAATCATATGATACATTTTAAGAATACTTTCTGTTCTTCATACTACAAACTCGATATCCTGCGACAACTCTACATGACATTAAAAGAAACAAATAGGGGGCTTTTCCATACCAGATGGCAGAGCAGCTAGCCTTTTAAATAAAATCGGAGCATTCGAGGGTAACTTAGATTTAGTTCTCATATGCATACATTTCACTTAGTTATCCTCGGTACGTTTCAATGTTCAGTTTTCACTCGTTCTCCAAAAACGTCCCAGCGGACAATGAATTGGGATTCAGTTAACGAAACCACCCACAATTGAAAAGATTTGGCACAAATATGAAGCACACAGCACATTATAGTTTAAGTTCGCAAGGTGATCTCTTAATCCACCCTAAGGGATTATACGGAATGGGGTTACAGATCAAAAAGTTTGCACATGTAGATGTGTTTGTTGCAAATTAACTTTTGTAACAAATGTAGATATATTTCACATGGACGCTACGTACAAATCGACCTCGATGCACATCAGAACCTCAGCAAGTACACCAGACCATGCATGACGAAAATAAGGCAGTTGCATTGGAAAGTAGAGAAAGGAGACGAGAGTAGATGCAATCGACCAGCAGGTATCATATTCATGAACTTCAATACAATACAAAATTAGTGCTGGGTGATGAGACAAGAAGCCCCTTCCTGGAAAAGACAAATAGCGGAGTGCTTGGCACACATCGGTAAGTAAAGCTTTTGTAACTTAAGGACTCGCTCACTATATGCCGAAGAAAAGACTATCTAAACATCCCCTCCTTGAAAAGTCTGATGAACAACTCCGCTATGCCCTTGCATCCCATCAAATCTCTATGGCAAAATAATAGGCTTCAAATGAATGCATATATACAACCCGAACTTGGCGCCGGGCTGGTGTGGGACTGTAATCAAATCCACAACATCGACTCCGGTAAGTTATTCCTCCTGGATCAAGTGCCTCGGTAGGAAAACTGCGGACTTTTCGTCTGAAGTCTTGACCTCTATGTAGAACGTAGAGTACATGTATAAAATATCACACAGGCATTGAACCTGACAGGATCGGAAGCATCAGGGCTGCAGGAGGTCGACCCTCCTCTCGGTAAAACCCATCACTTGCACCAGCACAAGCCTCCGTTTGCATACAAAATTTCTTCAACCGATATGGCTTCTCTCGAAAACTCCAAAATTAAACTCCAAAATTGAGCTTCACACTTCATCAGCTCTTTATCAACTCCACCCCCAAGGCTGGTGAGCGTACTTCTTTAGATCTTAATCGTTAGCTGTTTGAACCAAGCCGAGGCACCTCCCAAGAGACTAAGGGTGCTAAGAAATGGAAATCGAACAATCTTTAGGAAAGATGAAAAGCTTGAAGCCAGCCCAGAGGCATTGTTTTCATGTTGAGTGCGATTGGCTGTAGCTAGGTATGCTCTGGCGGCCTTTTCCACCAAGGGGTTCCTCATGTGCACATGACGAATGTCGGGAAGTGACTGAAAGGAACTGAGTTGGTTGTTCCATTGCTTGCTGCTTGCTGTAGGGAGCGACCCGGCAACATCTCTAAGAGAGGTATAAGAGTGCGAACTGTATGAATGAGCCCTCGTCATATCCAGAAGCTCCGTGTCTCTACGGTTGAGGCGGATGTTGCTGAAATTCCTCCACAGCTTCGCAACAGTTACGGTATTGGACTTTACAATCGTTGTCATGGAGGTTGAGCCTGTATATTGCTTCTTGAAGACGTAGTCTTCGTCCTGTATCAAAGACAGGGAAGGAAAATCAGAACTGATCATCTTTTTCCAGAAAATATCACCAGACAAAACTGCACACAGATTCAGCTACACAAGATTGTTCCTTCTCTCATTAAAGGTGTGTGTATGAATAAATGAATTCTTAGATCATTTGTGGTTTCTTTCAATTATCTCAAAGTACAATCCGCTCTCTCTCTAATGAAAGCCTGCCTACATCTCACACATACATCCTGGATATCGCGAAATTAGCTTACCAGCACTAATGCAGAGACTTCCTACGACGAGTGGCGGAGACTTTCTCGAGCAAATAGCGTGTGACTCCCTCCAACGAAAAAAGGGGGAGAGGGGGGTAGATTCACTGTCGAGCGAAGAAACGCCAGTCACGGCAACTGGCACAAAATTGGACTGCAGATTTCAACGTAAAAGTCGGCCGAAACACAAACTCGATTGTGCGCAAAATAGCAATCTCCGCAGTGCGACTATCTTCACAAGTCTCTCTATTTTCCTGTTTCCAAACTCTCACTCAGCGTCCTCCAACAACCTCAAAACTAAACCAGCCTTCTTCCAGCAACTTGGAGAATTAACCAAGAAACACGTGTATTGAACCAAATACAGCAACTCTAACGCTGCAAAAACCTTGTAGACGTCTGCCAAACCGAAACGCGACGGTGTGTTCAGGCAATGCCAACTAAAGAACAGATGTGCAAGTTATTGGAAATCTAAGCACCGAATAGACCAAACTCTTACACTCTGGTACAGAGGCGCTTGTAGAGACCGCTCCCCGAGGTCAGAAGTGTTAAGGAGATGAAAGTGATGGTGTCAGGAGAGGCTCAGAGCTATTAGAAGAAGCGGGGGAGCTGCAGCGAGAAGAAAAAGCGATATAGGGCGGGGGAGCGTCATCCATGGACACAGCACATCACAAGAGGCGAGAAGCAAACGAGAAAGTAATGGAAAGTAATGCGACGCGTTTGCGGTGTTTTCAGTGGCCCGGTAAAGCCAAGACCGCGTTGATACACCGGGCCCTACCCGGGTATAAAACCGTGTATCGGGCGGGGGCATCATGCCCCCACTCGGTCTCTAGAACTCGTTTCGTTTTAGTTTCCGTTCCTACCGGGTTCTCTACTGCCCCGCCGGTAGGTGAGCTGCACGTGGACCTTGGCAGGTACCGAGCTCTTCGATCATTGCTGCCAAGTCGTCCCATGCCCCTGTTCCTTACTCCCTCTCTACTCTGAAATTATATCTTTTTCTATAAATAATCTAAACATTTGGGGGGTGTTTTTGGTGTATTCACTTCTAAAAGGATAAAAAAAATAAAAGGGGTTAACAGTAGTGATTGCTTTACGGGCATGTTTTTGGATCATCTTCCAAAGAACGTCCCTAGAACAGTGGAAAAACAATATATTTATATTTATATTTATATATATTAGCCTACTTCGGCTTCAACAAGAAAAGTGAAAGAAATAGTGTGATAATTTGATCATTGTGTTATTTTTTCCACTAGAGGTACTGCAGTTGTTACCGATTTTGTTAATGCACTTGAGTTTTGGATCGATTTGGAACTGAGACTCTCTTCTGCTACATTTTAAAACGATTTGTCACAATTTGCAATTTTGTCTTAGCATTCTTGAGTCCGAACATAATTTAACACTTTTGCATCTATTTTAGAATAATGACTCTATGAAAATAAATACTACTTAAGTAAACAACTTTTATTTTGTGGGTATTACAATGTGCATGTGTGTGTGTGTGTGTGTGTGTGTATGTGTATGTGTCTCAATAAATATATATATATATATATATAGTAACCTATAATTTTGATGTTTACAGACAGATTACCCTTGAACCCTGCAAACCTAGTGCAATATTACAACAAGAAGCAAACTTTGACTTCACACATAGTCTGAAAATGATTATCATTATCCCAACCATGCAGTGCAAAATCAAAGCAATGTGCAGCACCAGATCCTATGACCGATGAATAGTGAGTGCATCAAATTTGGTAACCCAAGGTTCCCTTGTCAAAAATGTCATTGTTCCCAATCCATTTGGACCATTCCACCTCTAATCCCCACCAAAATGTGCACCTAAGGAGGGAGACCCAATGAAGGAATCATTTTGGGAGCCTAGATTTTTCAAAAGTTTGGAATAGTGTGGTTTTAAAAATGGAACTAAAGATCTGGTATCCCAACAGTGGTAAACCCTAATTTAGGGCAGAGATAGAACTGGTAAGGGAACAGGGAAGTCCTTGGGGAGCTAGCCAAGCTGTTGATGCAGGGATGGTCATTGTCAATGACTCACAACTGATATTGTGGCATCATACATACCAATGGGGTGAAGCATAATATATGCAGGGAATGTACTTGCCAATTGTACCACCAATGCTCCCTGTGCTTTCTTGTGTTGTGTGAGACCTCAAATACTTTTTATTTTCTATATATATTTCCCATACTATTGTTACATTCATTATCCTTACTAAGATAGGTGGAGGTGGCAAAATGGCTAATCCATTATAAACGCATAGACTAAAATTAGGACATACACGACTTCCCAATTATCAAGCCCCCCACAAAGCTTAAGCCCCACTTCACAAACTTTTGCATCAATGGGTTTGCTCCACATGTCAATAAACAGTGCCTTCTTCAGCCCCTGTTATCAGTATTTTATTCTTGTTTTACACCCATTTTTCTTGAACTGTAAGATAAGTTGCATGTACTGTTGTTGGTTGCTTGTGGGGAGAAGCAAAAATAGAGACAAACTGGACAAGGTAGACAGGGAGAGCAATGGAAGCAGGCTTGACCATTGCAGCCTCTGAGACTCTGTTGTTCCCTTGTGATGTTCCCTTATGTTGCTCTCCTAGTTCCCAGCAGGTGGTTCATAAACTCAAGCAAGCCCAGCCACCTCATCAGACTTGCACTGAAAGCTTCTGCATAACTTCATCTGAAATATATTTGGTGCAACTATATATTACTTTTTAAGGAAGGTTTAACTAGGTCATGCAACTTAAACCTATGGGTTTCAAAGTTGGGTTGTGTATGATTATGGTGTTACACATGTTAGACTTGATTTTTCTTTGTGTGTATTAGAACAAACACAGTTCTCTCCATGCAATGGAACAGACAATTACAAACATCCACTCTCTTCCAGTGTGTGCCCTGGACAAATCATGCTGAGAAAATGATGAGTCCTGTACTATATTTTGTCCAATTGGATGATGCATATTGTGAAAAGGAGGGATTGAGTGGTCGTTCAGGAATGAATCGTAGTAGATACAAAATAAGCACTCCTGCGTGTAATTTCTTCCCTTGAATTATCGCATTCAGCATTGCTGTACCAAGAGATGGAACTTTACCAGGCACATTTCCTGTTAGAATTTGTCCCCATCTCCAACTTCTCCAAAAGAAACAAGCCTGCAAGGACCCTCCTCAACATGAGTAGTGCTCGCAACATTTTTCTGAAACTTTGTTTCATTGTGACATTATTTCATCACATTGTGCTGTGCTGGTGGAAGCCTCTGGAATTCCATCCAAAATAGAGTATGTCCAGGTCAGACATGGTATCCAACATGGAACCTGGAATCAAGGAGAGGGGATGCTGTGTGAACCCACACACCAAGTGTGAATAAAATTCACATGGCTGATTCTGTAGAAATGAGTGAATATCCACATTTTGCTTGTGGGTTGTCACTGCACCAGTGTTGCCCTCCTGGCATATGGAATTTGGGAAGCCCAGGGCTGCAGCACAAGAGTCTCACATGCTGAGACCTGTAACTGCACTCCATTCAAACACCGAAGTAGGGCTGGTCAAAACTAAGACCTGCAATACATAAAGATGCCCCCTCCTCCTCCCTTGCTGATTTTTCACTTCAAGCAGATACCAAAACTATAAATAGTTAAGTTGCTGTCATTCTATTTCTGCCATTTATCATAAGCCCAACTGAACAGTACTTTCATACCCTATTTTTCTCTATACAATCATTTATTCTGATATATCAGCTCTTATTTGGAGAAAACTCTCAGCAATATGACTTCCATTAATATGAGCTATATTGCTTGCATGACAGTGGAAGCATCAGGATTAAGAAACACAATTTGCTCTCACTTTGTTGGATGGCTAACACTGTTAATCAAGGTAATTTGTCCAATGAAACCATGCCATTGAGGTGGGGTTAGTGAAGGAGGGGGTGATGTGGAATTGAATGATGGGCTTGACGATGGGGTATTGGAGTGACCTTGGATAAGAAAACCTTCAAACAAATGTAACCCCTTAAATCAAATGTGGGCCCCTGTATATGGAAAGTGGTGGCTAATTTTTTATGCAATGGCCTTTGGATAAGAAACATGAAAGGCTCCAAACCAACATTTATGGGAAGGGTTGAGCTGGGGTGAGAGCTTTTGTTAAACTCCACATTGCACAGACCCCCTCATCCAAGGCAGGCTAGCTCAACCTGGAAAAGCCCTTTTGTGAAGACTTCAAAGCATGGCAGCAAAAAAGGAGTCACTTTGCAATATTGGGTATCAAGAACAATAATGTGACGATGTTGGTGTTCAAAAAATGGGTCATTGTGACAAATGCAAATGCAAAGAAATCTGTGGTGAAGGAGCTCCACCAGGATGCATTTTTTATTTATTTATTTATTTATTTTTCCTTATTATTTATTCTAGTTTTTCTACATGGATGGGATGAACCCATTTCTTATGTCAGAAAGAGAAAAGGGAACACACATTCTAGGGCCTAGTATCTACAATTTTAACACCTAGGAACAAGGTATGTTACAAAACAATGAAATTAAAATTAAATAAGAAGGGGGGGGGGTGATAATTAGATTTCTTTTTGTTACACTACATTTTTGTGTGTGTATGGTGAGATTGCTACTTGGGACTCTAATATGCTACCTAAGTAATATTTTAATTATGTTTTCTGTTATTTTGGTTGGCTATATATGACATGTCCCATCTCCATAGAAAATGATCATTTTTGTTAAAATATTTCTTAAGCTATGCCAATGTCTTATGCCAATGTCCTCTGGATCTTGTGTATCATTGCATTATCCCCTCTTTGCTTTGATTGTTTATGTTTAAAGATCTCAACAAATATTAATTGTAATTAGGATTGAAGGGGTGTTTTTATTTTACATATTTTTACCTACAATTTAAAGACATAAACTTTAATCATAAAGCTGGTTGACAACCTATATTTCATTATAACCATATTTCATTATATTGGTTATAATGCAATATAGGTTGCTCATCTCAAAACATGCATATATTACTTAAGCTACTGCAATGTTTAAGTCTGTTTTTGGCAACTCAACACACATCAATGTTTAACTTCAAATTGATGTGAATTGCAGGAAATTGATAATCTTACAAAAAATGTTGCATTGAATACATCACAAAATCATCTTGTATGTTAACTGAGTGAGTGTGCGTCTGTGTGTGAATTTAATTTAATTTTAATTTTAAAGTACTGATGTAGAACTATAGGTTAGATGCTGTGTATAGTGTAAGTTTAAGTGAAACAGCCTGAACGTTTTAATTGAGGAAAGATAAGTAAATAAGAATAAAAATGCTTGACTATCATTATTCAATTTTTTTTTACTAATATTCTAACAATTCACCTGCATGTAGACTGATTTCATTATAGCTGCTCGTCTTGATTGATGATAAACATGCTAGATGAATAATCATTTTTTATTTTTTATTTTTTCTTCCTACAGTATCAATTACAAATAATATAACCGTTTTTTTTTTCCTTTTTTTTCCTTTTTTTTTTTTTTTTTTTCTTTCTTTTCAGTGTTGGTTTTACAAAATTATTCATATATCACAAGATTTGTTACTTTCTGTTATAAAATTGTATTTCCCTTTTAAATGCCATACATGTTTCTGAATATTTATACACTTTATTTCTCACACATTAATTTTCCTTGTCCTTTTTGGTTTAATATTCATTACAATTCCACATTTCTTGGTAACATGGAATATTTTGACAGCATGTGATCTCTAAAAGATCAAAGCTCTTCCAGCATCTTCCATACTTTCTGTAAAAACCTATCTGTTCTAAAGTTAGTAAGATGAATCTAATGAAGTACCACAACCTGCTTTTTGAAACATGGAACAAACATGCATCAAACTTTTGAGGGGTGCATATAAAGGATAGTAACTAGAATAAAAAAGTTGTTAAAATAATTTTTGTCATGGAAACAAGTGAAACTGGAAGAAAAAAAATTGGTGCTCCTGACAAAGCATTATAAAATATGCATGTCCAAATAATTATGCTTTAAAAAAATTATGGTACTAAGAACATTAGCTCCTATTGAAAATCCTCCCAACTAAATTTTCAACAACTACATTCATTTATTCACAATTTTTCTAGTAAAGAAAATAAAATCTACGTCCTATATCAAGACAAATGTATAAGAATGAAATTTATACTGTTTTGGGGGTGCATCCCGAATACAACGACTGTAATTTCCATTTACTTATCAAGACAGTCAAATCTCGAGCCTGTTAATTTCCTCCAATCTAATTCCATGCATTCATTTTAATTTATGACCTGTGCTGTTTTACATGTTTTACAGTACCCTTCTCTGCATTCAGGAAACAGTAGCGGAGACATCTAAGATTATAACTAACAAAAGACGAGCAAGTCTTCCTAGATACACAAGCACGAAGGAATGAGAAAACATATATTATTAAATTGCCCATTTGAAATAAGAAAAAAAGAGGTGGAAACTACGACCCTTCGTGGAGTTTCATGCAACCGCACTGCTATCGTCAAAAGAGTCAAGATTCTTCGAAGCCACAAGCTTCACGTCTTCTCGCCGATGAAGAGGGAAATGGGTATTAAAAGATTCGAAGCACATTGTCCGTCTCCTGGCATGGAAGTAGTCACATTTCGTTCACACCAGATATTTTTTGTTTTCCACGGTTGCATACACCGTGTTATCCTTTGTATTTGTGACAGGTGAACAGCTACGACCACGAAGGCACGTGACTGGGCTTTGAGGAATGGAGTTGGAGGGACAGAAGACCCAACTGCTTTTGACTTGCTACTGGGGGAGCTGAGGATTAGCACGCATCTCCCAACGCCCACGAGACAAAACTGGCGTCTTTGCAACGAAAAAGCCTCTCACGATTAGCCACCGTGGGAGCGAGGATTCCTCCGCCATGGTGGCAAAGGAGAGCCTCACCGAAGCAAATGCTGCAGTGTAGACACGGCAAACGCTCCTCTCCTCCCCCAAGGAACTCGTTGGAGAAGAGAGCAAGCACAAACAAATATATTTACACGAAGCACGTTTCCGGATGCGCCTTGCAGGGATCAATCATTGGCGTCTCGGAGTCTACGCCCAACTCGGACGAACGATCGTCAGCCGACACATCCTTCTCCGTCAATGAAGCCTTGTGCTCTCGGTTGCAGGTGATGGCGTCCCAGTCGATGCTATGCATACCCGGTGTTGATGGGGCGGATATCAAACGTTTTCATCGCCCTCGGGTGGGGGCGTCCCAGCCGATGATGCTGTGCATACCCGGGCGTTATGATGCGGTGGATATCAAACATTTTCATGGCCCTCTTGTGAGTAGTTTTAATTTTTAACTTTTTAATTTAATTTTATTTTTAAGCTTTGCAATTGACAGTTGATAGGGTTTCTATTTGTTGTGTCTTTTATGGAACTGGGATGTGGTGTGGTGGAGATATAGACTTGTAGGAGGGGAGCCTACATGTGGTCACATAGTCATGCAGAAATCAATATCAATGTCTCTGTTTTTTGTTCCGTGCTTCTTGTTATGTTTTATTTTATTTCATTTGCTGGGTTTGTCCAGACTCTTGGCTATCACACACTGTGCAGTAGTCAATCATAATCTGGAGATTTTAAGGGTGCAAAAGTGAAAGCTGGTGATTTCTTAATTGGCAGTCTAACTGATGCTGACCTTCAATGGATAGAAGAACCAAACCTGACCATAATTTAAACAAAATTAAAGTGAACTCCATCACAGACTCACATTACTGTCCATGTAAAATTCACAACACTTTTGAATATCACATTCTGTGCTTGCTTGAGACAACACAAACCACTGAAGATTATTTGGTGACACTGACTTGTATTTATAAGAGTGCCTTCATCTTTTGTTATACTAATACGCTACCATGATGCAAACAGACAAAAAGGTTCCATGGATGTTGCGGGATTAGAGTTAGACAGGAGAGATGCTTTATGCTCTGCAACCTATTCAAATGAATTGGTTTGGGTTTAGTTTATTTTTTCTTCTACTTCATGTAGATTTGTTGAGGGAGCTTCTGACTGTGAAATTTTATAATGCTCCTGGTCCCCAATGGTCCTAAACAGTCCAAAGGGTTGGAAGAGTGACAGGTTGGTACTGTACAGTGGGCAGTTCAAATCCTAATAGTGAGATCTTTGACCACATATATATATATATATATATATATAGATAGATATAATCAATGGTCTTTTTTCTTTTGTAACCAAAAAATATTAATTTTATTTTAAATGAGTAGAGATATAAACTTGTGAAGATTTATTTTAGTATAAGAACATGTCACTCAATTTTTATTTTTGTCTCTATGGTAGCTTCTTGAAATTAAAATTATTATTACTTATGATTACTCAAATTTCTGAGGCCTACATTGAAAAGCAGTCTTATTCCAAACTTTACAGGTGGGTGGATCTAGAGAACCCCATTGCAAAAATTATGTTAGAGCATTTCCAGATGGAAATTGAGTTCCACAGGATAAAGCCAAATTGTATGTGTTTGGGATTGAAAGGGACCAACCCCCAATACCAGTGTATCCTTTTCCCATGAGGTTTGGCCACTATGAAAGCAGCATAGATAATAGAAAAATTGAGGGGTGATGTGGAAAAACACCACACAAACGTTCAAAGCCACTTCTTTTTACCTGAAACCAAAACTATAAAATAACAATAATAATTTTTACTACTATGGGGTTATTACAGTGAGGCCTAGCTGGGAGCAGCTTTTTTTCAGTTTTGATATCTGTTGACCACAACTGTAAAAAAATAATAAATAAAAAAATACATATTAAATGTGAATGTTGATAAAAAATAATGAAATGTGATGTTTAACTTGGTATTGGGCCAAAGCAGCGTCCCAGTAACAGTCTTCAGGATTCCTCTGCAGCTTCCAAAGACTAGAAACAAACAAACAAAAAAAACAAAACAAAACGAAACAAAGCCACAAGCATGGCAACAGGGAAGCAACAATTGGATTTGGAGTTCATCAAATTCTGCCAAATGCTGCACCAATGTGAGAAAATTGTGCTCCACAACTTTGTAATTAAATCTTTATTTCTTAAAGCAAAAGATGGCAATGGCACAACACATATTCAAGTTTTGGAACTTTCATAAATCTAGGGAAGGATACAAAGCAAGTTTTAGGTTGATCAGTTAATACAAAAAATTCTCTTCCAAGCTTACTTCTTTTGGAGAAAATATGGGTTATTTATACATATATATATATATATATATATATAAACAGTTCCTTCATGATTGGTGTTGAGTAGATGAGAGAAAAAAAATTGTTTTACTTGTAAAAGGGCTTTGAGAGGAGTGTCATGTCATCCACATGGGCTTTGTCTACATTTTAGTGGAGCTTTTATTCATTGTCTCACTAAGACCCTCTCTCTATCTCAGTTGTGGAAGGAAAAAGGAAAGAAGGATAGCTCTTCTCTATTGTCTTGCTCCAATCCTGCATGAACGCGTGTGCATGTGTTTGCTATAATATTATACCTTCCATAACATATTTGCACATGTATGTCAGAGGCCTCCAGCATGTTGTGGTACTCCAATCCATGTCACTCACTGTCTGTGTGTCTGCTCACCGTCTAACATTAACACATCCACAAAATCATTTGATCTCTTTGCACAAGGTTGAAACAAAAAAAACCCACTACGGACAAAAACAAACAAGAGAAAAAGAATTGAAAACTTGAAAGTATAAAAAAGGAATAAAAGTACATCTATGTAGAAATTCATAAAAGGAAAATTCCAATTTCTTTGTCTTATCTTTTGTCACACACAAGCCTTTTGTTTTGGTAACCTTGTATCTTTGTTTTAATTTTTTCAAAGACTTGTTGAACATTTAGGTATTGTGTACATTATCATTGGAAGGGTGATGAGCAAGCCACTTTAAATTAGTATTTTTTGCAAAAAAATCCTAATTCTTCTAAAATAAGATTGGGAAAATGCCCTAAAATAAGGGGTCAACCATATTTTTTCACATGGTAGGGGAGGTGCCTCATAATGCAGTCTGCAGTTATAGCAGTCATGTTAAGATATGTATGTAAAATATACTATGGTGAATAGAGATCAAATAGTCTTTGTGCAATGCTTCTTTTTTGAGAAGCTTGATTACAAAGAAGTAGATCTTACAAGGAACAAGCAAGACCAGATAGAAAATGTGATTTTTTTTTACAATTTCTTTTCAGGTTGATAATATCACAACACACATGAAGTCGCACCATGCAAAGGCATGAGAAAAATACAATGTCCTTCTTGATGTTTCAAAGAAGTAGTTCTTTGATCATATGAATTTTAAAAACACCCTTGTAGCTCACTTTGACACCAAGAAGGCACTCATCTTTACAATCAATTGAGACATTGTCAACATGGTTATTGGTGACATGTTGTTCATTGCCAACGACAAGGAATTTTTTGTCAACTCGTGAATAGACATTGTTGATTTTCAAATTATTTGAGGATACAAACAACCAGATTGAGCTTAGTGGAGAGTAGGATCTGAAACACAAAGCATACGAGGTGGAGATTAAATCTTTGCTCTTGTTTTGTCTTGTGATTAGTTTCATCTCTTGTCAAACTTCGTTTCAAATGGAAACATGTCTCATGGATGTCACTAAGATCATGTCGCTCATGGACTACTTGAATGGATGTAGTGAAGATTGTGCAATATTATTTGTCAAGATCGTTTATTTTCTGAGTTTATAGAAGAAATTGGAAATCCTCCACATCTTTTGAATATTTTTGCTTGCTCTTGATATTAATATAAAACAAAGCACCTCATACCTTGACTTTAAAATTTGATTTGAACATCAATCAAAGTTGCACAACCTCTATCTTTTTGTCATTCTTCTTTTTAATTGCAAGATAGTTGAAGTAATCTTTGTTGTAAGTTTAAAATTATTAAATATTGTTACTTAAAAATAGAAGACACAACTCATCGGTATTAATACAGATCATGAATAGAGAATGATAGGGCAACCTACTAATGTTGTAAGAAGGATGGTTAATGTGGCTGCTGATGGAATTGTACATGTGTGGTGTGCTTTGCATCAACTTCACCTTCTGGTCCAAGTCAAGTTCGTCAAGTTATATGACAACCAATTTATCAACATCTTAATATGCCTTCTCTCTTAACTTTGCCAAGAGCTCAATCTTATCTAAAAGATAGGTTCTACATGCTTAAAATTTATGGGCTTGCAATGATTGTCCATAAAAAATACTATCTGATTTTTTGTGGCAAAGGCACATAGTGATTTGCAAATATCTTGCACAAAATCAACCCGCATATATCCCCTTTTTTTTTGGTAGATGATATTGCTTGCTCTCAACAACATTTGAAAAGTAATTTCCACCAATGTGATATGATTCAAGAACTCAATACCCTCTTGAATCAAGAGAAAGCCCATCTCAAAGGCTTGATTTAGTCATTCGTCTCATTTTGCTAAGTGCAAGGTGTACATAAAGTAGAGACTCTTTTCATGGTTTACAACCTCCCAAACTTGGACATTTATATATCTTAGTGTGTGGCTCTCATGAGTGCACAAGCCTTCATTGAAGATTAAGGTACCTTTGCAATGAGCACCTTGGCTTTGTTGCTCATAGCCAAAGGTGAGGCTATGGTTCATTTGGTGGTGGCCTTATTTGCTAGTTTTGTCAATGACATTGCATCCATTGTTGCCTAATGCAACTACAACAACTTTGCTAGCAACAAGGACATTTTAAAAGTCTTGCCCTACAATTTGTGTAGACTGCGGACATCTCTATCTAGAGGCACATGATGCAGTTGGAATCGGCTCTGTGGGATGCTCAATCAATTAAAGATATTGAGAACAACCACCAAGTCATGGTGCATGCCTACTATGAAGAAATTATCTTTAAGGATATTGTCAATAAGTGCTCTGATTTGAAAACATAATTTTAAGTCGGATGGGCTTATTACAATGGCTGGTTTCAAAGATTTTGTGCTAGGTTGGCCTCCATTTTCTCTAATACAAGCATTGTTGAATCCAACTTTTCTATGATTGAGTGAAAGAAAGACAAGTATTGGCAATGCCTTACCAACTTCTTCCTCAAGAGTGTTCTACATTTGAAATAGTTTGACAAAGTATGTTGAATTTGATGAGGATGAATGATTTTAGTCAGCTCTATAGATGAATTTAATCCATCCCTAATTTACTTAAAATGAAACCTGGCCACCACCCTAAAATAAGATAAATTAGGTATTTCATGGAAAGCCCTAATTCAAAGTAGCCCGGTGATGAGCCACTTGAAAAATGGCTGCTTCCATGCATCTGATATTGAATTTGGTTACAAGCACAGTCAAAAAAAAAAAGGAGGAAAAAGCCATTGTCTTTTAGCATTGCCCCTGTTCAACTACAACCACAACCAAGGTTTTATTTTTTATTTTTTATTTTTTAAAATTTTCTTTTCCTCCTTCTCACTAAGCTTCAACCACTATGACTAGAAATGAGGGATCTTGTCAGCTTCACATGGCATTGTGAAATACATAATAATTCAACCTTCTTGTCCTTTCTTTTTCAACTTGGAATTGTACTGAAGGAACTTCCGTGAACCATTTTGTGACCAAGCACAGATTGATGTATAGATAGAGAGAGGGACTTAAGATTTGTGAAATGGTGCGTGTAACCCTTGACTCACATTCGGAATGTGAGTTTTCCACAGTTCTCTTTTTCACTTTGCATTACATCATGTTTCTCCACTTGTTGTTATTTTATTGATTTTATTACTGTTAATAGAACATACATGTGTATCTATGTGTATAGCCCAGCAAACTTCACGTGTATTTTGACCACTGCCTCCTGTAGCTACTGTACTGGAGAGGCAACCCCTTCTCTTCTTCTGTGGCCATGTGGTCAAAGGATGGAAGGAAGGAAGGAAGCCCCAAAAGTGGGGCTTATAAAATTTTCCAAGGCGTATGAAGTGAAACCACCACACCAACAAGTGGGGCTGTAGCACACACACATTTGCACAAAAAAAAAAAAAAACAAAAACAAAAACAAAAACACACACAGCAAAGCCTTTGGGATATGGAAAGGAATAGTGTGTCTCCCCTAGAGCTGTACAGATCAAAAGAGAGAGAGAGAGAGGTATGTGTTGTATTCATATTAAGAGAGTGGTGGTTTTGGGCTTTCAATTAGAGCTATGGTTTTGTGTGTGAAGCACACCTCATTAAACCATCCTTGCTATGAGAGTGGAATTTGGAAGGTATTGCTCACACAAGGTGTTTTGGGCAGCTGATGATGATCTGCATGTTATACTTTATAAAAACAAAAAACAATAATTTATGCAAAAAGAGGGGATTCTAAATTTGTAGAGAAAAGCTTTTGAAATTGCAGAAAGTGGGAATATTATCTTGCTTTTGTAATTTTTTTGCCATGGGATGGATCCTCCAGCCATCATGCATTCAATTCTCAATTCATCTTTATACCTTTTTATTTCCTCTTGGTTTTTGTTTTTACCTCGCTCAAATTCCATTCATTACTCACATCTAGTCGAGTTCACTATTTTTCAAAAACCTGTTTAATGTAAAATAAGTTGAAATTGAGAAATTATGTCACATAATATTCCATGCAGGCAACTAATGCCACTACTAATCATCATACATGACAACATTCTGTTTGGTTGGTTAGTTGGTTGATGTTTTTTTGTGTTTTGTTTTATTGTTATGTCCATTAGTGTATCTATTTTTAATTTTTTTTGTAATGCACAATAAACATGGGCAATGGATCCCAACCCATTGCACAGCAGCCCATGAACAAAAAAATTCATCTCAAGGGTGCATTTGGTCAAAGTCTTTTCACATAGCTTGGGCTTGTGATGGACATGCTGCTTTAGCTTTTCTTATCAATTCCGTATTAGAGGAAAATGTCGAAGATCCACTTCTATGAATAGAAAAAACAAACAAGAAGACAAAAGAAAGAAGACGAAGAAGCAGAAGAAGGCTAAATATCATAAGCACACCAACCCCAGTTCTGACACCCCCAAAATATCATCAAGTGCAGTGTGAAAGCAGAATCAGTGGCCAGATTATACCCCCAAAAAGAATAAATAAATAATATTCCCACCACCGTGCTCTCGTCGCCAGCCAAAGACCAGGGCACGAGCACGCCGGGTATCTGCGAGGTCCGGATCCCAAAGCCACGTGGGACTGAAGAAGCGGGGGAGAGATGAGGTGGCACATGGACCGAGGAGTGCTACACTTGGGCACAGTGACCAGGGCAGTTAGAATGAGAATCTAGAAGATTCGGCGTCGGAACAGAACCCCCACACCATACAACCCGCTCGCTCCAGCCATGATGGAGAGCCGGGCCACACGATCCAGCGAGCGAAATCAATCCACCGGCACCTGCCGAGTGTCACGGAGTTTGTGTCGGCAGTGGACAGCATCAGCGCCTGCAGGGATTGAAGCTCTCGTGGGGTGTGCGGCGATGGAGCAGCCTGACGAGGTTGATGAGGACGATGATGATGAGCAGCAGCGGCAGCAGTTCTGGGAGTGGCGCTGTGAGTGAGAGTGCCTGTCGATCAATGTACTGCGGGAATAAATTTGATTTTACTGTTGTGGCCGATGGCGGTGGAGAGTGAGCAGGTGGACTGCGCCGTTGAGTGGATGTCGTCCTTCGATCCGTGCATGTGCATGCTGTTGCAGGAGCGGAGGAGGATTTGCGCCATGGGTTTAGAGGGGGTTTAAGGGTTGAGGTTGGGAGTTTTATTTTGGGGCTTTAGGCTTTGGAGCTCGTGGGGGGAGATGTTGATTGTGTGATAGTTTTTAGGAGCGACGTCGATGGAGGGTCTCGGAGAGGGTGGGTACCAGTCCGGGGTAGGGAAGCGGGAAGAGGTGGAATGGCGGACCGAGAACGGCGAGGGGGAGGGAATGAGGAGGAGGAGGAGGAGCATGGGGCATTTTTTGGGTGGCAATGCGGACGGCGATGCCCCTGCGCTTCCTCTCCATGACAAAAACATGCAGCTGTGAGTTATTTTTGTGTTTTTTTCTTTTGTTCATGCAATTTCTTCGTGTTCGTGTCTGTGTTCTCGTTTTGACTTGCTTTGGTTATTTTCAAGTTCTTTGAGTTGAACTTGGAGGATGCGTTCTACGTGTTCTGGACCAGTAAGTCTAGGCTAGTTTTTATAGATAACTGAGTTGAGCGTGACGTGCAATTTTACTGGTGAACTCAGGCGACACCTGTTGGACATCTCACAAGTTCTTAGCGAAGCGGGGAGCGCCATTATTGACGTATGGGCTTTTCCTCCATGTCGCTAAGCTTCTGGTTTCGCAGTCAACTCGCTCACACAGCTTGTATTCTGCATTTTGATCAATATAGGCTTCAGGAGGTTGTGACGATTCCCCCGGTGGAAATATGATAGTGATTTACAAATCCTGCGTTTCCAGTTCGCAACCTTACTTTGTGTTGATGTGGTAAGGGATAATGTAAGGATGAATACTGGTGATTGATTTTGTTGCCTGTAGCCATAGTATGTATGTCAGTCTACAAAAAAACATTTGTATACGACTGTTTGAATCGCAATGTGTGGTGCATGCAGGACTCTTTCACCAGATGTTTTAAGTCTAATGCTCCTGAACCTTGGAACGTCTGAAACCGTTCTTGGGACACAGATATAATTTATCTATCCGCCAACAGATTAGGGAGAACTTTGATAACAACAGTGCTTGTTGATGCACTCTCTCGGGCCGCTCCTGTTACTTATATGCATTTTGAGTTTTAGGCGCTTCTTTAGCTCGGAACGAAGTTTTTTTGTTCTCAGGAATCAATTAACTGCCGTGACGATCAGGTTTCAAGGAATACCTTCTTGGAAATAATTACCGACTTCGTTTAAGAAAGGCCTAGATAAGCAAGTCTCTTTTGTTGCAGGCTGAAAAAGCACATTAAAGACCCAGACTCGAATCCACTGCTGATCTTTCCTGAAGGCACAGGCATCAACAACGAGTACATTTGCATGTTTAAAAAGGTATCATCAGTCCTAAGAAAATGTAGCGGTCAAAAGTTTACGTTTGCGACTTGTGATACTTTTTTGTTCTTACTTGTGTAGCTTATTGAACCGCTATGTCGTGCAGGGCGCGTTTGAACTTGACTGCATGGTGTGCCCAATTGCGATCAAGTATAACAAAATCTTTGTTGATGCTTTTTGGAATAGCAAAAAGTGAGATCCTTCGTTTGAAAAACTGTTCACTTTTACTTGAGCGTTGCACAATAGCCTTGCTGAGGATTCAGCAACAAAAGAAAATTATGTACTCTATGCTTCATATTCTTTTGTTTGGTCTATTGAGTGATTTCTAATTCATATTTAAATTTGTGATATGCTCTCTGTAAGTTGCATGTGTCATTGTCACGATTTGACAGGCATCGCATGTTTACTGTTTCTGCCACTAAAGATGTCCATTGGTGTGCCCAGACAGTCATTTACAATGCACTTGATGCGCCTGATGACATCTTGGGCGGTTGTGTGTTATGTCTGGTACTTGGAACCTCAAACATTGCGCCCTGGTGAGACTCCAATTGAATTTTCTGAAAGGTACGTGTGTTGAAGTCAAGGGTTTTCGAGTATCCGTAGCATGCACCGCAGATAATCTATTAGCGCTACCAATCGGGTCATTTTTTATGTGCTTCACGACGCAGTGTAATGTATCTTTGTGGTCTTCGTCATAAACATATTTTATGTGATCTGAGGAAAGCTTTGTAAAGATTGCTGATGAGCTGCTTGCGGCAGGGTGCGTGAGTTTATTCTGGCTCTTTTAAAAAGAGTCCCTTGGGATGGTTACCTCAAGTATTATCGGCCAAGCCCAAAAATCACAAATAAAAAGTATGACTCTCTTGGTGCATTTCAGGATCCGGGGTCTATTTATAGACCGGTTGCAATCTGTGAGCTCAAGGTTATTAATGTTGATTCAAGCATATAGATTCTAGTCTGGCTGAGATGTATGTTGACGAATCCTTCTCTGATTCCTTATTTATACCTTGTGTTACAGGCAACAAAGTTTTGCAGAATCTGTCATCAGGGGGTTGGAGGCTAGCAAACAAATATGGTAACTGTAGACACCAGCGCTACATCCTTGTTGATTTCCCGGTGTAGTTTATTGTCCCTTGTTACTAAAGACTTGTCAACTCTTCCCTGCCAGATTAGTTGTATGAGACTCGTGAGCTACTCGCATACATCAAGCGTGCTTTTCCCTCCTTGCACTTGTATATCCACTATGACCTCCGACTTCGGGGCTTGCAATAACAGACAGGAGGATTTCTGGATAGCGAAAGATGCTCTTGAACTCTGTCACAATACACATTTAGTTTTGAATATTTAATTAGTTTGGAAACAAATGGGTATTCTGTTGCTAACTTCTTCTCCCCATGTAGATAAAATCTCCTACAGTTCTGTGGCACAGTTTGACTTTGGCATGGAAACATCATTCCTTGCCTCCAGTCTCCACCACACGTAACTTCGAAATAATTTATCCGATCACTTCGAAGAACAGGCTTTTGCTTCCGGCAAAGGGTAAAAGCTTCCACTAAAAAAATGAAACCAAACCGACTACAATAATAAAACCCAGAAGCGTAGATCACAAGAAACATGAAAGACAGCACACGACCTCCCCAGCCATGTCTGCTGCAATCCCTGTATAGCTTTTTCATATGCCCCTCACCGCCCACACACCTCACCCCAGCTTCAGTAGTCCTTACCCACAAGCTCACATGAGATATTCACGGCAGAGAAGCTCTCTGCAAACAATTGGGAGTCCTTAGACCACTTAAGAATCCATTTTCCATGGCCGTCAACGCAAGGCTGCAGTTGAATCCAAGTAATATTTGTTGTTGTCCCACTGTTTTCAAAAGGCAGAATTTAGGTGATTCGCTTCCCAATACTCGGGGCACTGGAAAGTCCTATATTGTGTGGCTTCGGTCCCCGGTGCCTGTCAAAAGGCTGGGAGGAACCCACATGCGGGCTACTGGGCACGGGTGGCGTGTGGACCGGGTGGGTGGGTTGGTGGCCAAGTACGCATTGTCGTACTCGGCCCAGGGGAGGGAGGGGGGGGGGGGATATTTTACCGAACTGGGGGGCGGAAAGTAATTGTCGCTCAGAACTCTATTGGCCGGTGTTGGCCTCCCCTAACCGACTAAAATGCGATGCAAGTCTAGTGCCAATGAGAATTCCACACGTGGGACGGGACTCCCGATGTGGAATCCGAGCGCTTTGAGATGAGCCTCGATGTATGTGTGGAAGCGGGCGGGAGATGCTGACTGGGATAATAAAACCCTTCCTTCCCGCCCTATTTGGCCTACCAGGTGGATATTTCTCAGTTCTGGGAGCCTCGATTGTCCCCCCCCCATTACAAACTGCTTGCTTTCTTACTGAGCGTGGCAGCCTTCGGCTTGCTGACGTGGCATTGTGTCGATTTCTGTCTCGGGGGGTGGGAGTGTGGCTTCATTGTTTCTTACTCTATAATCGAAGCATGTCATTGAATATTAAGTCTACACTGTGATGGATTGTGAAGATCAGAAGATAGCAAAAGATTCTCTCTTGAAATGTGGGTTACATGGATTTGTCCTTACCACTTCTCTCAACCTATTCTCTCTCAATATAATTCTCTCCCTCTATCTATAGAGGGGAATATTAATTAGACCTATGGTTTTATTAAATAAACCCACCTTTGATAGAGAATATGGTAATCATGATGAATATGATTGGTTTTTACTGGTTGCAGATCTAATATTTGAGAAATGAATTTGGAGTTCATTTGTTTTTCTTTCATGATGGTTAAGATTGATGGGTTGATTCAGTAAAAACTTGGGTCTATTCAATATTTCTCTCTCTCTCTCTCTCTCTCTCTCTCTATATGTATATAAATATTAAATATATAGGCACTGGAAAGTTCTCTCTCTATATATATGTATTATAAATTAAAATAAAATTTTTGATGATCATAAAAATTATGACAATGTTTGTAATTATTGATTCAATTCTTCAAATGTGGAGATATAAAATCAAAGTGTAATTTGTAAACAATTGAGCATTGCTTGAAGAAAAGTTTTTTTAATAAAATTATACAAGGGAATTATAAGGTAAACATCTCATTTTACTATATTGAAACCCCATACTACACATTCTTGCATATATGGAATAATATCATTCCTAGATGAATATTTTTTAATGATTATGTTGTTACTATTGAGAAGGATTATGAAAAAAAAAAGAAAAAAGAAGCTTATCTTTGTGCTTAAATGATTGATATCATATGTTAAAATTTAGATGTATGTTTTATATCAAATTTAGAAAAAATAAGCTATAAAATTATGCAATCAATTTTCACAAATGAATGAAAGTATAATAATATTTTTTGTTTAAGAACATTCTTAATAAATTAAGAGAATCTCATATAAAGTACCCATGTAGTAAAAAAAAAGTGTCTACCTAGCAATTTTCTTATATAATTATAATATCATAATATATTTTCTATTTATATTTTAATTTTGCTTTTAAGATGGATCATGGAATCTTTTTATTTTAAAAAGAATATCTTGATTAATGAATTAATGGATTCATTTTTTTATTTTTATTTCAATAGTTATTTTTTATAAATTAACATAATTAAAGTTATATTATATATATATATATATATATATCTGAAAATTTTAATAAATATAAATCTTAAATATTAAATTAATTAGATAATTGAGCAATAAGTAAATAAGTCAGATATCTCTTACCTACATTTTAGTATCTAGATATTATTTTTTTGGATCTTCTTATTAATTAGTTCTTTTAAACCACTTTTAGTTTTAAAATAAATTATATATATATATATTTAATATCTAAATATATTAATTATTTTTAATAATTCAATTATATAATTTTTATAAAAATATTGTTGAAAGTTGTAATTTTTTTAAAAAATAAAAATTTATAAATAAAATTTTGAATATAAAGTATTGATGGTTATATATATATATATATATACTTTGTGAGAAAATATGAAAAAATATCAATAATAAAAAATAAATTCAATATGATATAATCAAGTTTATTAAAAAATTAGACATTTTATCTATTTATTTTTTAAATTCTTAGAGTTAATTTATTTTATGTTTTAATATCTTTTTTATTAAAAATAATTAATATAATATTAGAAGCATAATCAAAATTTTTATGCCAATTAAGAAGATCATGGAAATAATAAGCAATATATTTTACAATTTTTGAAGTGAAAAGAAGATAATAGATTCTCGAATTTGATGCAATTTTAGTTATGTATTAAAAATAATAAGATTACTAGTATTTTATGAAAAAATTAGATATTTATTTTTAATAAAATATAATACAAATATATTTTTATGCATCTTTTTAAAAAAATCTCTAAAGTAGATCTATACAACAAAGATTGAGACAAGTCTAAAGATACTTTGGAAAATTTGAACATTAAAAAGAAGAAAGATTTTAAATTTTGTTAGAATAGAGTATAAAGAATAGATGAAATCCATTAGAAAAGACACAAAGAATACAAGTGGTTTATTTTAGAATTGAGACTACATCTATCGGAAAATACAAACATGAATTTTTATTTTACTAGAGAGTACTCATTTTACATCACAATTATGTTCATATAAGGTTTTGATAAAATCCTAAAAAAATCTATCACTAATTTTAGCACCTTTATTAAACTAACTTTAAATTTGGATCTAAATAGATCTATGGAGGTATTGCCTCCACATCCCTACTAAAAGGTGGAAAGAAAAAGAACAAGGGGACTATTTTTAATAAATCATGCCTTCTTGTTTGAATCCTTGACATGAAATCTTAAAAAATTGGCAAGCAAAGCTTGTCAAGTGAACTCATATTGACATAATACAAGATACATATTAATAATCTCTTGTATTTTTTTCATCTATGTAAAACATCATATCTATGTGTTAGATGTATTTATGTCAATGCTCTTAATACTAAGAAAATTGAAGTAAAATCTAAACTTCTCAATATATATAAGTTTTTTTTTAATATATTTGTAAAATTTTCTTATATATCTATCTTTTGTAAATACACTTTTTTATTATTAATGATATCTTTGATATAATAATGTTTCACATCTATATATTTTATTTTCAAGTAAAATAAATGATTCTTAGTCAAATGTATTGGACTTTGACTGTGACAATATAATAGAACTTAATCTTGTAATAGATCAATCTTATTCACAAACATCTTCAATCAAATAGTTTTTTTAGTTACTTCTAATATAGCTATGTTTTCAAAACTAATGCTCTAAAGTACTATATTACATTATAAAATTGACTTCCAACCTATAAATCTACTAATTAATATAAAGACATGCTTTATAGAGTTTTTTTCTTATCTTTAATTAATATTGACTTTACTATAAGAATAGTTAATACTTTTGCATTCTCTAAATAAAAAATCATCAATTTTTTCTCAACTTTTCTTATAATATCCACAATTTTCACATTTTTATGTCTTTATAGTTATAAATGATTAATATCTTTTTTACAAGTTCAAAGTTTTTTATGTAAAATTCTCTATCTAATTTTTTTTTTATTCTATTATTTTTAAATCTCTAATAAGCTGTAATGAACATATTATTTATATAAAGAAATAAGATGATATAACTATATAGAGTAATATTTTTAATTCATTTGAAATATAGAAAATAATCAAAGTCACTCTTGCTATCATTTTGATTAATTATAAAAATATCATTAAGGATTTTCATTACGGATACGGATATCCATAACGATACAGATTTATCTTTATACATGTCTATAGGTGGTTGATTGGTTGAAAATTTGGCCAACAAATTGGTCACATATCAACATGTTAAATATTTGTAGTACAAATTAGACATGTACCATACATCAAAAAAACTTCACTTACAAATTAGATACATGTCTTATAAGTTGGATGTGTATAAAAGGTCCTATAGTATGCCACCACATAGTTCTTAATTAAGTAGTATATATAGAAACAAAAGTAAGGCCTTCCTCACTTTTGTCAATTCTTTTTTTGTTTCTAGTCTAGTTTTAAGAATCTCTAATTTTCTTGTCTTTTGACAATAGCTATTCTATTTTTTTAATATATAAATATATATAAATTAAAAAAAAATATATATTTTACTTATTTATTTATATTTATTAAATTGTTTTTTAACAAATCAATAAAAATATACTTATAATATTAGTTTTTTTATCTTTTTTTAATAAATTAATAAAAATTGATTATTTATTTCTATTTAAGACATAAGTATATTAAAAGTTTTAGAATATCT